CGCAGATCAGCCTTCAGTATACACAAGGGGGTCCACACAGGAGAGAAGCCCTATAAATGTCCTCTCTGTGAAAAGAAGTTCAACAACAGGTTCTCCTTAAATAGACACCAGCGGGTCCACACAGGAGAGAAACCATATAAATGTCCTTTCTGTGAAAAGAGTTTTGGCCACACACACAACTTAAGTATACACAAGCTGGTACACACAGGACAGAAGCCCCATAAATGTACTCTGTGTGAAAAGAGTTTTGGCTGCAGATCCAACTTAAATAGACACAAGCAGGACCACACAGGAGAGAGACAATATAAATGTCCTCTCTGTGAAAAGAAATTTGACCGCAGATACAACTTAAGTACACACAAGCAGGTACACACAGGAGAGAAGCCCTATAAATGTCCTCTCTGTGAAAAGAGTTTTCGCCACACATATACCCTAAGTATACACAAGCAGATACACACAGGAGAGAAGCCCTATAAATGTTCTCTCTGTGAAAAGAATTTCATACAGTTGTGCCATTTTTTATTTTATTTCATTTTATTTTTAGTTGTGCCGTTTTAAAGTACACCATCGGCTCCACACAGGAGAGAAACCGTATAAATGTCCCCTCTGTGAAAAGACGTTTGGCCACAGGTTCTCCTTAAATAGACACCAGCAAGTTCACACGGAAGAAACCCTATAAATACCCTTTCTGAAAAGTTTCACTGAGAGGTTTCAATTTAATAGACATCTGCAAGTCCACAAGGAAAAGAAAATGTGAATATTCTCTCTGTGAAAGAGTTTGATTTTGCGGCATGATTTTAATAGACACCAGCAGGCACACACAGGAAAGAAACCCTAGAAATGTCCTCTGTGAGAAAAGTTTCATTGACAGCCCAAGCTTTTTTCAACACCGCTACTGTAAAAAAATTTCTTAAGTCCCAACTTTATTAGACATCAGAGGGTCTATATACTAGATAAGGCTTATAAATCTTCCTGCTTTAGGAAAAGCAGCCACAGGAGCTGAAGTTTTGTCCAACATCAGAGATCCCATTTGAAGAGGAAGTCTACTCTATAGCCAGACTCTCTTAGCCCTTTATTGTATCTGTGTGGTTGCAAATATTGACCTGTTGGAATCACTTGAAGGATTTCATCTGTTGTATCTTTCTTTTCATGGTTGAAAAGAGAGAATTTGCAGTTGTGTTTGGACTTGAAATTTAAGTTGAGCTCTTGGAGTGAACTTCATGCTTGCATCATGTCTTCTAACAAAGCAGCTATAATTACAGCTATAATTACTATTCTTAGTAATAACATCAGCTCAGCCCTTCATCAGTAGGATTCCAGAGCATGTCTTGCTGCTGTAGAACTCAAGTAGAAATAGAAGACCAAGGTGCTCATTTGTGCTCTTATACATGTAGGTACAATGTAAACTTGATGTGCCCTTTCTTCAGATAAACTCAGTAGATTAATTTCTCATATTTGTGTCTGAAATGTTAATTCATACTGAAAATGGGTTTTCTCACAGAAGACCCAACGTGAGAATTGAGCTCCCTGGGAGCATGTAGCCAGTCTTCTCCCTAAATGTGGTCACTAAGAATATGTCTGCAGTACACTCCTTAAATGTGGATAGTGCAAAGAACCAGGTAGCATGGGGAAAGACAGCCGTTTCTGACATCAATTAACTTGACAATGGAGAAGTGTCCCCATCAACAGCATGTTATGTGCCGTCGAGTTGCCTGCGACTCATAGCGACCCTATATGTACAACAGCCCTAAACCCTGCTCTGTCCTGTGCCAATCTGTCTTGACACACCTTCCCCATTACCCCAGTCACTGAATCAATCCACCTCATAGTGGGTCTTCCTCTCGTGCACTGTCCCTCCACCCTCCCAAGCATGACGTCCCTCTCCAGGGACTGGTCCCTCCTTGCAAAATGTCCAAATATGTCTAAGGAAGCTTCAGACTCCTTGCCTCCTAGGAGTAGCCTGGTTTAAGTGTCTCCCAGATGAACATGTTCATTCCATCATTTTTCAATATTCTTCTCCAGCACCACAGCTCAAAGGCATCAATTCTCTTTCAATCATCCCTAGTCATTGTCCAGCTCTCTGAAATATTGCAAGTGATTGCAAAGACCATGGCCTTTACCAGGTGCACCTTAATCTCCAGACTGGCATCATTGCTCTTCAGTATTTTGGAAAGATCTTTAACAGCAGACTTTCTTAATTTTCTGGCTGCTGGTGCCAAGAGTGGTGATTATGGACCCAAGCAAACTAAAGCTGTTAACAGTCTCCATCTTTTCACCATCTATCATGATGCTGCCAATTGGCCCAGTGGTGAGAATCGTTGTTTTCTTGTTATTGAGCCTCAATCCATATTGAAGGCTTCAATCCTTGACCTTCTGCAGCAGGCGCTTAGGGTCCTCAGTTTCAGCAAGCAGGGTAGTGTCATCTGCATAACACAGATTGTTGATGAATATTCCTCCAATCCTGATGCCTCATTTCTCCTCATACAGCCTAGCCTTCTAGATAATCTGTTCTGCATATAGATTGAAAGGTATAGGACACATCCCTGGTGTACACCCTTCCCACTTTTGAACTATGCAGTGTTTCCCTGATCTGTTCTGATAACTGCCTCCTTCTCCAACTATTGTTTTTGCATTAGCACACATTAATCATGATGAAGTGTTTCATTGTAAAGTATTACAATGAAATGTGCAAGGAGCTGGAGTCAGAAAATCAGAAGAGCCAAACTTACTCAGCATTTCTTAAGCTCAAGGAACTGAAGAACAACTTCAAACCTCAAACTGCAATATTTAGGTTGTTGTGGGCAGTGTATTAAACTATCCAAGAAGTATTAAAAAAAGATGGAAAGAATTATACAGAGTCATTATACCAAAAGGAATTGGAAGACACAGAAGAATTTCATGAAATAACATACAAACAAGAACCTGTGGTGATGAAGGAGGAAGTTCAAGCTGCTTTGAAAGAATTGGCAAAAAATAAGACCCCGTGAATTGATGGTATGCCAATTGACATATTTCAACTAACAGATACTACCCTAGATGTGCTCACCAACTTGTGCCAAGAAATCTGGAGGACAACCACTTTGGCCAACTGACTGGAAGAGATGTATATTTGTTCCCATTCCAAAGAAAAGTGATCCAACAGTGTGGAAATTATTGAACAATATCATTAATATTCTGTGCAAGCAAGATTCTGCTGAAGATTACGCAGAATTGACTGGAACAGCATATCAATAGAGAACTGTCAGAAGTGCCGGCTGGGTTTAGAAGGGGTTGTGGTACTAAGGATATTAAAACGAATGTCAAGTGCATCTTGGCTGAGAGCAGGGAGTACCCAAGGAATGTCTGTGTTTCTTTGATTATGCAAAGGCATTTGACTGAGTGGATCACAACAAACTGTGACTAACTCTGAGAAGAATGGGAATCCCAGAACTTGAACAACAGTTTACAGAACATAAAACCATTTCCCAAGACGTCTGGCATACCCACATGCTACTACACATACTTTAAATTCCAACAACTCTTGCTGTTCTCCCAGGTCTGAATCCATTGCTGAAGCTACCCACATTTCACACAACCATACTCATCTTTATGGGGATTGTTAGGAATGTTATTATGTTACTGCTGTGGGAAATGTTTCAGCAAGAGCTCAAATTTTGATTGACATCAGAGATCCCATCTGGGGAAGAAGTCTTCTTCAGAGATAGACACTTTTAACCCTTGTCTTTGTGTCAGTTCAATGACAAATACTGAACTCTTGAAATCAACTGCAGAATTATATCTGTTCTATACTTTTGTGTTTTCATAGATAGAAAAGGGAGAACGTACAATTGTTTTTGAACTTGTAACTTAGTTTGGGCTCTTGTAGTGAACTTCATGTTTGCTTAATGTCTTCTAATTTAGCTGTTATAATTACTGTTTACAGGAATAATATCAGCTCAGCTTCTTCACTAGGATTCCAGAGAATGTCTTTATGATCCAGAGCTCAAGCCAATACAGATTAGGCAACACATGTGAGCTCTTTGACAAGTGGGTAAAATATGGACTTGATGTGCCCTTTCTTCAAATAAACTTAGTCGATTAACTCATCTCATTTGTGTCTCAAATATTGACCCTCTCTTGATTCACATTGAAAACGTATTTTCTCACAGAAGACCGCAAAAGAGAGTTGAGCTCCCTGGTGATCCAGTAGTCTTGAAGAGAGTGAAATCAAGTTTCTCCTTGGAGGCAAGGATTTTGAAGGTCTGTCTGTCTCATCACATACTTCTGGTATGTGGCCAGGAAGGACCAGTCCTTGGAGAATGGTGGAAGGACATCACAGGAAAGGAGGACCTCGGATGAGACAGATTGACGTGGTAACTGGGTCAATGCAATTGAATATGATGGAGTGAGACTGGCTCATGACAGGGCAGGGTTCAGGGTTACTGTACATATGGTCGCTATGAGTCACAGGTGACTTGACTGCACAAAATAACAAAAATAACTGCTGGTGAATGCTCAAAACTCATCCAGAGCAAAAAAGTAGGGAATCCCGGCTTACCTGAGATGATGCTTGGAGAAGTGAGCCTCCTGAATCCTGGTCGCTGAGCCTTTCCTTTGTTTGGGCAAGAAGCTCAGGAACAGTCATCACTGAAGTGAGAAACAAGACGTCTTTAGATTCTAGGTGACCTTTTCAGTAATTCCACAGAGGGCACTGATTTAAAAAAAGAAACACAACAGAATAACACTGACAATTCAGAAGTGATAACTGCATTCACAACTTCAGGATTGTACATGCATCACTAACAAGGGCCAAATCCCTCTACAATGCCAAAGACCCTCAACCACATATTCTCTCCCCTCCTTTTTCAAGTCCCAAATCCAAATTGTCAAATGCAGATATAAAGTAGTTGAAAATACAGACCTGGAATCTCCTAATCAGAGTGACTTGTGGACTTCAATCTTATTCCCAGGAACTAATTTTCTTTACAAGGCCTCTAACACTGCCAAGAATGACAACTCACCCTCATCTAATTTCGGCTCAGTGTCAGCTTCCTCTTTGATGATGTGGCTCAGTTGCTCCTCAGCCCGTGAGGCTGAATTCTCAAGTCCCAGCTCCTGAGGCACCACTTCAAGACTGGCCTCTGCCCCTGTAACTTGGCAGCTTGCAGATTCCACCTCCTCAGGTGAACTTTCCTGTCCCAGAACCTGGCTGCTGATCTAAAGACAAGTTATTATGAGTTACTGTAGGATGTGGAGTTAGGATTCCTGAAATCATCGTGAAGTCCAACTTCTGCAACAGATTACAGGACAGTCCTTAGGAACAGGTAACAAGGGAAAGATAGTCACCTTCATTTTCTCAGTCAGCAGGCATTCTAACCATTGATGAAAATATGACAGACAGGCCAACTGCTAACACTGAACAAGGCCTGCAAGACCTTTAAGGCAGGCCTCTCATAAGGGGTTTCAACTGGAAATTCTGTACCAATTAAAAGTTAACAAAATGGAAACACTGCAAGGTTAAGTGAGAACAGAATCACACATTGTACCTTCAATTCTTAACAGCTACACTGCAGAAAGTCACCAGCACACCGGTAAAAGTAAAGAAAACAAAGCCTCTGTGGAAGGGTTCATTGCAACTCACAGCCAACACTATGAGCAGAGGAGCTCTTTAGGGCTTTCTTAGAAATAATCTTCATGGGAAGTAGATGAGAGGTCTTTTAACTTGTCATTTGGTGGGTTCAAACAATCAATCTATGGTTAGTAATCAACTATAAACCATTTGTATCAACCAGGGACCTGACAGACCCAAAGAGTTGTAGCTGAGGCAGGAGGACACCCTAACAGGACTCAGATCCCGATACCCTCTGCTTACCCACTGCCACAGTCTCTGTGGGTCGCCCTTCAAGCTCTCCACTAGCGTCTCGGCCTCCTCTCCACTGCTGGGACACTGTGTGCGCACCCACATCTGGATCTCCCCATGCAGGATGGTCAGGAACTGCTCCAACATGAGGAGCTCCAGGATCTGCTCTTTGCTGTGAACTTCTGGCTGCAGCCACTGGAAACAGAGCTTCCGAAGCTGCCTCAGGGTCTCCTGGGGCCCAGACAGCACCTGGTACTGAAAGCATCTGAAAAGCTGCCGGGCAGCTTCAGAGCTGGAGAGTTCCTCTGGAGCGGGGGCTCCAGGAAATGGGGGAGCCTCTGCCTTTGCCAGTGGTGGCACCTGGACCAGGGCCTCTCCCAGCTCGCATGGCATCACTGGTCTTGTCAAATTCAAGTTCCTTCATGTCAGCGAAGTCCTTCTAAATGGAACAGTGCTCTGGAGAAAACCAGATCTTCACATAGCCTTTTGCAAGGGAAACTGGGAAAGGAAGGAGTTCTAGTGAAACACAATTTTAGAAACAAATGTACATGCCCTACCGAGAAGTCTTGCACTCAACCGTAATCTCTTAAACTGCCCAATGGATAAAAAAACCCCAAAAAACAACAACCAACAGTTGATATACTGACATGGCTCCCATTCATGTGGACTGGCGTTTCTCAGAGTGGAGTTGTGTTTGACACTGATGTAAAGGGCTGGCTGGTTACTCAGAGGTAATCACTAGGTATTTCTCTGATGATATTCTTAGGTACATTCTACTTCCCACCTGTAAGTCAGCAGCATAGTACTTTAACCATTTAAACAATCCAGGGGCTCAAAAGATGCATTCTTTATTTGGAAATAATGTAAGCTTGCAGTCACAGATCAAACCACCAAGACCCCATCTAAACTGTCACCATCATCATCTCTATAACATTGGTCTTTTGGTCTTCAAATGTTCACATCAAGTAGAAGAGTGCCATCCTCCTCATGAAGCATTTTCCCTACAGGCTTCCAGATAAATTTAACTTCTAGACATTCTGAATTACATCTGTCCACATGGAGACTGAAAGTAAAGCTGAGCAAGTACACCAGTGCCCTGCAAGTAAATCCCCGTGATGCTTCTAGATAAACAAAAGGTAAGAGTGAACAGAACACTCTTTTCCAAAAGGTGCAAAGAAATTCCCAGTGGCCTCCTTACCATGTTGGAAAGTGGGCTCTTTGGGAAGTAATGTCACACAGCTTTTACCTTGGATTCAAAGGATATTTGGAACAAATACTGGCTACCTAAAAGCATACCTATTTCCTCAGACTAAGGAACTACTACTTTATGAACAATATTAGCAAAATTTCCAAGGGTTCATCCGAAATACAGAAAATAAAAATAAAAAATTGAGAGTATGTATTTTTGATGTTGTAAGGAGAATTATCTGGAAAATTGAAAACTCTTCTTTCAGTGAACAAGTATATCTAAAAAAAAACACAAAAAAACCCAATTATGATATGGAAAACCTCCCATCAACAAATGAATGGCTAGAGAAGCTGTGGTATATTCGCACAATGGAATACTATGCTGCATTAAAAAACAAGGAACTCATGCAATATTATTCAAAATGGTTGACTCTGGAGAACATTATGTTGAGTGAAATATCCCAGTCACAAAAGGACAAATATTACATGATGCCACTGTTGTAGAATGGGACTGTCCTTGGGGTTGGGGAGAGACTGAGTAAGATGGGTTCAATAATGTATACTGCACTGAAACAGAGGAGGGAGAGAACCGTTTAAAAGAGAGATATAACTGGGTATTTCTGTCATCACAGGAGACTAGAGCGAGGGCTACATGGTGGAGGGGACCTGGGGGAGGGTTTGTAAAACAATGAAAGAATCTTTTCTTTTACTTTTCCATAATTTTTGGACTCATGTACTTATAACTTGTTAGTCAAATTTGTGTCTTCTAGGTTGCAACACCCCCATGTATATCTTCAAGGATATGAACATGTACGGCCAAGCACAATCAATAAGAGTGCATCTAAATTCCAAAATCAATCTCCATAATAGTCTATGTGTTTCCTACTGCCAAAGGGGCCCTTTAGAGTAGTGAGAGAAGATCTTCACCCTGAAACCCACAGCGTCCCTTTTCAGCAGGAAGTAGCTAAGAGAATACGCCATCCCCTTTTCCTTATGACTCAGGGTGAAGTCTCTCTCAGGGAGGAGTGATAGGGAATGGCAAAGGACACACTGACAAAGAAGATTAATCAGAACTGGCTTTGACAAGCACTGTGGCATTTGGACAAGAACAAACTGGGAGGAGGGTAGAGAGAATAGTGCAACAATGAATGAGTGGAAGCCCAAAATCTCTGTAAATGTTTATGAAAATTAATAAAATATAATTATAGAAAAAAAATGATATGGAAAACCTAAATAGCACCATTAACTGTCTTTGTTTGGTGAAATTTTCCAATCACTAAGACCAGTAACTATAGAAAATACATTCAACTGCACATAACACAATGAAAAAGCCAAATCAAGCACACATTAGATATCAAACGGGATCGTATAGCATATTTTTTTCGATTGTATTGACATCTTAATTCAATAGCATACTCCAATATATAGAAATTATTAACACTCTTATTAATGCAGGCTCCAAAAGGAAATCATAAAGTAAAATGAAAACTGAAAAAGATTCCAATTTGGGAATACAATGTTATGTGCCTAGGTGTCAGAATACACCCAAAGCCGACTCTCTCCATCAGGTTTTCAGAGGCAGTAAATCACAGGGGAGATTCTACATCCTTGTCTCCTGGAGCAGCTGGAGGATTCCCACCTTGTGTCTTTGTGACTGTAATGCAGTTTAAAGCGACTAGGTCATCAGATGTCAGTTTAGAGAGGTATACAGCTTCAAATGTGATTGTCGTTAGTTGCTAACAAGTCCAGCAGGACTCAAAAGCGACCATAAGAACAGCCGATCTTGAACCTTGTCCTGTCCTGTGCCCGAGCGGCCTGACCCACTGCCGTTCCACGTACCCACTGAGCTTAGGGAAGTAGTGAAGGGGGGAGGAGGCAGGATCCCACAATCAGAGGCAGCCACGTGCACTCACCTCCATTGTGGCAGCAGAGCACTTCCAGAGCAGCTGAGTATGCTGATCCAGCCTGCAGGAGGGCGGGGCCAGACTGAGGACAAGGCCCGGATTGGCTGCAAGAGCCACCCGCCCAATTACGTCATCACCCTGTGAGTCCACTTGCAGGCAGGCAGTTGTTGCTATCTTGTTATGTCTCCTCAACTGAGCTTTGAGTCATAGGCACCCTATAACCAAAAGATCTGAATCTGAACTTGTCTTGTGACATCCTCACTATCTCCAAAATACTTGACCCCATTGTTACAGTCACCTTCTTAATCCATCTTGCTGAGGGTCTTCCTCCGCTAAAAGTCACCCTTCACATTTTGAATCATGATGTCTTTCCCCAAAGTCTTTTCAAAGTGATATGCAGACCAAATCATCCGGGAGGCTAGACTTTATGAGGAGGAATGGGTTATTAGAATTGGAAGAAGACTCATTAACAACGTGCCTTATGCATGTGACACAACTTTGCTTGCTGAAAGTGAAGGGGACTTTAAAGTCGGCTGTGAGAGACTTCTCTGGTGTGCTAAAGTTTAACAAAGATCAACTCGACAATGACTAAGGATTACGGAAGACAGAACAATGTCTTTGAGTTGTGGTGCTGGAGAAGAATTTTGAACATGACATGGACTGTCAAGAAAACAAATAGGTTTGTCCTGGAGAGAGTGAAGCCAAGCTGCTCTTCGGAAGCAAGGATTTTAAAGTTCTGTCTCACAAGCTTTTGACATGTTGGCTACAGGAACTGGTCCTTGGAGCAGGACATCGTGCTTGGAAGGGTGGAGGGACAGCCCAGAAGAGGAATACCCTGAATAAAGTGGATTGAGACAGTGATTGGGATGGTCGGGGCAGTTGTGTCACAGTCAGTGAGACTGGCTGAGGATAAGGCAGGGTTCAGAGCTATTGTCCATAAAGTCCCTTAGAGTCACTCGTGTCTCAAAGGCACACTAACAACAACAAAAGCTAGGGAAACCCACAATCAGGGCATTACTCAGAGGAGATGAACTGCCATTGACCACTTTCAGTAAGACAATCTCATGGCTTACTATGCCTAGAGTGAAAATCAGAAAAAGAATAATATTTAAGTCATACTTAAAAAGATAATTTCAACTTCTATCCTGGAATACAAAGGGGGAAACTTATGAAAAAAAACAAAGGGAGAGTTGCTGAAGTAAAAGAGCAGAATAAAAGACTTCTAAGAACAGCTTACCGACCGGTTTCGCTGTGTCTGACCTGGAAGACGACTCCTTTGCTGTTATCCAAGGTGACCTTGCCCAGTGACGCCTTCCCCTCCCTCTCTGGCCGGGTCAGACACAGCGAAACCCGGCCAGAGAGGGAGGGGAAGGCGTCACTGGGCAAGCTCACCGCGGATAACAGCAAAGGAGTCGTCTTCCGGGTCAGACACAGCGAAACCCGGCCAGAGAGGGAGGGCAGGAGGCGTCACTGCAGCCCTCGGGCCAGAAAGGAAAACATAATCTACACAAGGGTTCTACAGGACACATCAACTTCCCTTGGAGACAGTACAACTAAACTTAAGAGACACTGGTCAAAAGAAAAATGTCAGCAGTCGACGTTTTTGGAATCA